GGTGGCGCGGGCTGGGGCCGGGCAGCGGGCCGGAGTCTCTCGGACACCAGAGCCGGGGCTACCATCCCGCTGTGGTAAGATTCTCCAGCTCTGGAATACTCAGCAGCTTCAGCTTTAATGCGTTTTCTTTACCGCTTCACCTCTCTTCTTAACAGCTTTTAAAAACTGCCTGTGTGCCCTGGCCCGTGCGGCTCAGTTGAGCGTCATCCTGTGCGCACTGGGTTCGAATCCTGGCCAGGGCAGGTGCCCAGGCTGGGGGTTTGGCCCCCGGTTGGGGCTCATATGGAAGGCAGCTGATCAATGTTTCTCTCTCTCTCTCACTCTCTGTCCCCCTTCCTCCCTCTAAAATAAATTTTTAAAAAAGCCTGTTGTAGTCCAGGCACTAGCACTTTATACTTTCAGCTTGTCTCATGTTCTCCCCAGTCTTATGAGTTAGGTAGCTTTCCCAAGGTCATGCTCATCCTTACAAGAGTCAGGATTCAAACTCGGGTGGCTGTCTCCGCGTGCCCACGGCTCAGCGTAACTCACGCTGCCTCCCGGTGTTGCCTGCCCGGGAGGAGGGTGTTCCGCTTCCACCCACCGCGCTGTGCTTCTTCCCATTGATTTTCATGCTTTTATGGCAGGTTCTTATCTCATGATTTGAGTAACCCAGGCTGTTCAGAGCTCTGTGGTCTCACAGATTTCTCCCCGGACCTTCCGTGGGACAGTGGAAAAGCCCATTGGCCTGGGGACAGTGTTTACCTTCATGTCCAATAGAAAACTCTTGTGTGTTTTCCCTGAAATGCATGTGTTTTCAAGGCCACTCTTTAGTCAAATACACAGAAAGTCACTTTCTCTTGTAGACGTTAGTACAAAGCAGCTCGCCACTGTTGGAGGATCGTTGGAACTGGAAATGCCTATTTCCTAAGCCAGATCATCACTCAGCCAGGGCTGGGTAAAATATGGTCGGTTAATTAAATTTGCTAAGGGTCATGAGTGTGATCTCTGTGTGGTCCAGCCCCTTTTCCCTCTTTTGCGGCTCTTTACATCTAATTCTGACGGTTAGCGGACAGAAGGGTGCCACCCATTAGTTGTAAAGGGGAAGAGGGAGTGAGTGTGGATGCTTCGTGCAGACTGATCGCTCGGAGGATGAGCTGAAAACATGCCCCGTCAGGGCGGGCTGAGTGTGTCATCCAAGTGAGCGAAGGCTGGGCTGTTAAATGCACTAATTTCACCATTACCTCTCAAACTGCACAGCACTCTCTCTGTTTTCATTCCTGGACAATGAGGTTTCTACAGTTTCTTTTGAAAAAATTGATTAAACAGTATTGTCAGGTATTTTTTTTAACAGTTTTATTGAGGTATAATTTATGTACTATAAAATTCATCTCTTTCATCTCATCAGATTTTGTAACATTTAGCCTTATAAGCTCTTCTTTTTTTCTCTTCAGACATATTATAATTGACTTGTAAATTTAGTGGCCACTGTTTGAATTAATATCCAGTAGAGAAATCAGTCACAACCACAGCCTGCATATTATTTTTGGCAGGCATAGCTGATTCTGCCTGATTTTAGAGGAAAAGTACAGGATTTTATTGGTCTATGAAAGCTAATATATTACAATTGAATGGGTATTATAATTGCAGGAGTTAATTGAATTTTGGCCTGAAAACTTGGGGATTTTTCAACTTAGAACTTTTTTAAAATTGATTTTTTAAAGAGAGAGGGGGAGGGAGAGAGAGAGAGAAGAGAGAAACATCGATCCATTGTTCCACTTATTTATGCACCTGTTCGTTGATTCCTGTATGTGCCCTGACTGGGGATTGAACCTGCAACTTTGGTGTATCAGGACTATGCTCTAACCAACTGAGCTACCCAGCCAGGGCTCAGCTTTGAACCTTTTACTTGAGATCAATCATGTTGAAGATCCGACTTGCAGGTTTTCTTTCTCTTGCAGGGTGTGAGGAGTGTAACAACGCACACTCTTCAGTGTGCCCAAAGCATGGCCCCCTGCACCCCATCCCCAACCGCCCCGTGCTCACCAGAGCCAGAGCCAGCCTGCCCCTGGTCCTCTACATTGATCGGTTCCTTGGAGGCGTGTTCTCCAAAAGGCGCATCCCTAAGCGCACCCAGTTTGGCCCCGTGGAGGGACCACTCGTCAGGGAGTCCGAACTGAAAGACTGTTACATTCATCTAAAGGTAACTTCTGCTTTATTCGTAGATCACTCTTGTTTTTATTATTTTTAAAGAGGCACATATTTTCCTACCGAGTCTCCTAACTCAGTTTCATAGTAGTTGTTTGCTAAGGCGTTACACGAATAGCTCTGAAAGGTGTAGTTCTTAGGGGCTGTATTAGTTGGCTGGAGCTGCCGTAACAAAACACCACAGACTGCGTGGCTTAAATGATGGGAATTTATGTTCTCGTAGTTCTGGAGGCTAGAAGCCAAGATCTAGGTTTCGGTGGGGTTGGTTTCCTCTGACACCCCTCCCCTTGGCTTGTAGATGGCCACCCTCTCGCTGCGGCTGCACACGGTCGTCCCTCTCTGTGAGGCTGCCCTGGTGACTCTCTGCGTGTTCCCTTCTCTTCTTATAGGGCCACTAGTCAGATTGAATTAGACCCACTCTAATGGCCTCATTTAAACTTAACCACCTCTTTTAAAGCCCTGTCTACAAATATAGTCACATTCTGAGCTCTTGGGAGTTAGGTCTTCAACATATGAAGTGTTGTTTGTTTTTTTGTTTTGTGTGTGTGTGTGTGTTGAGGGGGGGGCGGTGTACATTATTCAGCCTATAATAGAGGCTCTAACAGGTGTGTTTTTTTTCCCCCCAAACTGACTAGAACACAGAGGATTATGTTGACTCGTGTAATCTGCTAAGTACCAATAATGTTTTCAAGAAAAACACTTGTCAACTTTTGTAACTGATGTTGAATCTTTTGCTACAGGATAGTTCACTGTACATTGAAATATATATCAGTCTCCTTTTCTTACATGTGATGCTTTTGCTTCTATTTTTAACCCCTTGCTGACTGCTTCCTTGAGAGACACTCGAGGACCAAGAAAAGGCAGCGGGAAGGAAAAATATTTGGGATGTGTGTTTCGAGAAATCAGCTGCTCTCATGGGGAGGTGTTCTTCAGTAAATGCCTAAGCTCTCTAAGAAAGAATATCACTTTATGAAGAGACATACAGGCTACACATTTTAAATGAATGTAGTTGAATCCCAAACAAAAGCAAGTTATAATGAACTGGAGAGTACTTTGCTTGCATTTTCTTCCTTATTTGTAGCATTTTTTGATGTGTTAGCTAATGATGAAACATCAACTGAAGCTATACAATCAGGTTGTTAGCTTTGAGGTTTTGCCAGGTAATTCTCCTATAGGTGGGTCTTTGGAAAGGATCCTTTCCTTTTACATTTGGCAAGACATAATTTCAGTATCTATACAAAGGGGAGAATCAGAACATACGGTTGATTTAAGGAGCAATCCTTTATATATTATGACATGAATGCATAGCGCATTGAAGATTTTATTTTTATTGTTTGGTGTGGCTTTTAACTTTCTCTTTGGTTGCAGGTTTCCCTTGATAAAGGGGACAGAAAAGACAGGGACTTGCATGAAGACCTATGGTTCGAGTTGTCTGATGAGACGCTTTGTAACTGGATGATGTTCGTACGCCCGGCCCAGAACCACCTGGAGCAGAACCTGGTGGCTTACCAGTATGGCCACCACGTGTATTATACAACAATAAAGAATGTGGAACCCAAGCAGGAACTGAAGGTATGGAGCTGGGCCAGTGGGGCCTCTGCTAGGAACTGTGGTTATTTAATGCTTTTCCTGCCTTTTTCCCCCCTGAATTTTACAAAAATGGTTCTTTCCTTGTAATTCACTTACTTACTGAATACACGCTATGTACTATAAACCTATAATAATCCTATAAGTAGAACAGAATGAAAAATGTACGACTTTTGGGGATATCAAAGGCCTATGTGAAGGCATTAGGCCAAGGAATAGGAAGGGGTTGTTTTGGGGAGCAGACTGGTATTTGTGATGGAGTGATTAAAGGGTCACTTACCATGATTTATGGACTCTAAAGAAGAATTGCCTGGGAAACAGGAGATCTTATTAAGTGGAATTCAGATGTATGGGCAAGATTTGTTTATCTGCATAATTCATTTTGCCCAAACGATTCTATGCATGGACTTCTGATTTCAGGAATATATTTTTCGGGGATAACTGTTGGAATTTGTGTAAATATTAACTCTTGATGACATAATGAAAACTCTGCAGTGATTCCAAGTAAAAATACCTTTAAAATATATATATATGTTAGAAACATGGCTTCCTGATATAATTGAAAAATAGGTGAGAAATGATTGTATCAGTCTGAGAACACTGAGTTGCACAGTGCCTCACAGTGGTCAAAGTGAGACTAGATGCCTCTCTAGGGAGAGAGCAAAGACCTAAAGTGTTCAAAAGCTATACAAACCCCGTGTCTTTGAAACCATCAACTAGATAATCCATAAACCCCAAAGAAAATATATAAAAGGAGATTTATATCTCACATCATCTTTCCCAATGAATTCTTGACAAGATAAAACTAAAATGTGGAGGGAAGATTATTTTCTCTTTTAAGGCAACTATAGAGGTAAAGACAGAAACAATTAAATACGAATACAATAGTTCAGTATAATAACCAAAACAACAGATAAAAAGGAAGCTGCAGAATGGGGGAAATATTTGTAATACACATTAAAAGGTTTAAGTGTAAAAACAGAGAGAGTTGTATGCCTCTGACCTCACTACATCCAGATGGACAAATGAGCAAATGCCAGGAATAGACTTTATTTGGAAGAGGGATTAAATAGTTAAGACCTATTTTTAAATGTTTTCAGTGTTGATAATTTAAAAACCCTTAAAATGAACTATGAGTTACTATTTTTCTTAATTTAAATTAGCAAAAATAAATGTGTCCAGTACAATGAATGTGAAAGTTTTAAAACAGGAACATTCGTTACAGAATTGCAATATTTTGTAGAATATTTCTGGCAGTGTATGGCAAAAATATTCTTGGCTGAGTACACCTAATTCCTGAAAATTAGTTGTCTGAGGAAATAATCACAGACAAAGATAGAGCTGGATATGTTAGAATTTTGTAATGCTATGTCTTACTGACTCAGACACCAATGGCTTTAACATACATCGTTATTTTATGCACCATTAAGGGAAAAAATGCTGCCAGTTAAACTATAATACAGTGCTATTTAGCAACAAAATAATTATACAAATGTAGGAGCTATTTTAGACTTAGTTAAATATAATTTAAAAATCACATCACACGCACACATAAAAAGGCAAAAGTATTTGGTTAAGGAAATAACTGCTTTGTATGCAGTCTGACTCTTTTTCCTGAATCACTGCTTTACTTTGTGACGGATGCTTGTGCTTTTCGGCACCTGCCATCTTCTGTGTCATCGGGTGTTGATAACAGGGCAGTATTTATAATATAAGTGCTCCCTTGTTGCTCCTGGGGTATTTTCCCAGGTTATTACCCTTTCTGCAGGTTTTGACATTGTGCTTTCCCATGGACTGAACCCGTACGTGTCATATTCCTCATTTGAAAATGCGTGTCCTTGGAAGTCAGGTGGTTTTGATCAAGTCAGTAGAAAGTTCCTGACAGTTCGGTGTTTGATACCTTAATGGGAGGTACTGCGGGATGATCACACCAGCCTTGCATTGCTTTGAAATTTCTTTTATTTCTTCTGAGGGAGACGGCAGGTCTTGTTTTCTTTTTGCCCTCATTTGTGTTGCTTGCCAAACGTTGCCGCCTCAGGAGCACCGGGGCAGGGCGCAGCTCAGTGAAGAGCTCGGCCAGGCTGTGTGGGAGCAGTGAGCAGGCCGTGGCAGCTGCCACGTCGTGGCCGCAGCTGTAGAATGCCGTGGAGGGAGAGACCCGTTCTGATGCGGAGATGTTACAACACGAGAACTATCCCTTTGCGGTCGTATTAAATTTGGACATGGGTGTCGTACTGGTCGGAATTAAGAGCTTTCAGAGAAATTAGGAACTGATACATGAATGAATAGAGTTAAGATTCATACGGTTCCTTGCTGTGGTGGCTGAGAGCAGACATACGACCGGAACGGTAAAAAAGCTTTGGTGGCTGAGAGCAGACAAACGACCACAAAGGGATATACACCTTGGAACTGATGGAATAGGGCAGCATTTATAACAGCAAAATGACAACCTTCTAAAAACCCAACCGCAGGGTGATGGTTAAGTAAATTTTAGAATACAGACTTTGTAGAGTATTATCCTGCAGTTAAAAATGGGGTCTTTCAAAAGAAATATTTCATGTTCTATAATAATTACATGATTGATTCATGTAGGGATTAATATATGGACCTCCTACTAGGTTTCAGACGCCAGGAAAGATGAACTGGCCCCTGTGTTCGGGAAGCCTGTGTTCTAGAGGGGGGGGACAGAAGGTGTGGACAAGCAAATGATGTCAGTTAGCGGGGACACCGTGAGGGGAACAAATGGTGCAAAGGGAACCAACAACAGGAAAGGGACCAGTTTGGATTGACGGAGAGGGAGGGCCTTGCTGAAGAGATGACTAGGCTGAGAACTGCCTAATGAGAAGGGGCCCGCAGTGTGAAAGGCTTAGGGGATGGTGAGGGGAAGAATCCAGCATTCCTGACACAACAGGGCAACAAGCTAGGGGTAGGAAAGAGCTGGCGTGTTCGAGGAGCTGACCACAGGCCTTGTGGCTGAAGAAAAGTTAGTGATGAGAGGCCAGACCGCTTAGCAAGGTAGGGCCAGATCGTGAGCCCTTAGGAGACTGTCAGGCACTTCGGGTCTGTCACAAAATGAAGCTGATGCTGGCTTTTAAGCACGGGAATGACGGAATCTGATGGTGTTTTAAGAAGGCCACTGTAGCTCCTGTGTGGAGAATGGATCGGGGGGAGCAGAGTAGAGAAGAGGCGGCTCGTTGGAAGCCCGGGCGAGGCCTCCTCTTGGTGTGGATCTAGGTGGCAGAAACAGGTGAGCATTCGAGCAACCGACAGTTCCTGCTAAAGGATTACAGAGAAAACAGACATCCAAGACACCTTTTAGGTGTCAAGGCTGAGCAGTTAGGTGGAAGGTAGGGAACTTACTGAAATGGGGGAAGGAAAGCAGGGGCCAGCAGGGGAGCATCTTGAATTCAGTCCTGGACGTGTTAAGTTGGAGCTGTTGGTGAAACATCCGCTATCAGGTAGGCAATAGGATGTGCGTGGCGGCCTCGGGAGGGTCTGGGGTGGAGATATAAATTTGGGAGTCACTAGCATAGAATTGCTGTCTAGTGATCACCTTAGGGAAAGTTAAGAAGGCCCTGGACTTGGACTAAGCTTTGAGAAACACCAATATTTAGAAGTTAGGGAGAGCAAGGAGAGCCAGACAAGGAGCAGATGCAGCCGTGGGACGGGGGGAGCCCGAGCAGGGCGCGGTGGCTTTTGAAGGGCACTGGCGAGCCTAGGAGGAGACATTTGGGGACCGACGGGTGGAGACCACTATGATTACAGCTGTGTGAAAGCCTGTGTTTAAATACAGATAAAAAGACCAGGAGAGGCTGTGTTTTATTTAGATGAAGAGTCATTAATATTATCTCTTGTGAAGTTGTTCTAATAACAAAAACAGTTTTTTTTAAAAAGGAAAAAAGAAAACGCGCTGTGTGTCTTGGCAAATGAACTTCCTGACCGGCCGGCCACCTGCAGCCGGGTTGAAGGGGCTGGCGCACCGTGGGGTCATTTTTGTTGTTAGCTCGTTCTCCACGGGCTGTGGAAAGCCTGGGTTGTTTTAGATAAGCAGAAGCGTTTGAGAGGCTAAGCATGCGAGGGCCGCGGCGATGCCCCTCGGTCCTGACGATGCCCTGTCCTTGCAGGTGTGGTACGCCGCGTCCTACGCCGAGTTTGTGAACCAGAAAATCCATGACATTTCTGAGGAAGAAAGGAAAGGTGGTTGACTTTTCATATTTCATATGTGAATTCTAAGTTACATATATTGTATCTTTATGCCATCCCTTATTTTCTGTCTCAGTATATTTAAGACGATATGCCAGTAGGGTTTTTAGAGCTACACACCTCCGTCTGACTCTAGGATCATATTTACATCTCTTTCATGGGTGTGGGAACATAGTATTTAACATAATGAAAACCTACAAATACTAAATTAGAGTCCAGATCAGAGGGTGATCCCTATCTAGATTTAATCTCCTCTGAGGACACAGCAAGGCAGGCATCGACTCTGTTTTTAATATAAATGTTACGGTAGGTAGTATAATCCCTGTACATAAAAATGCACAAATTATAAGTATGCAGCTTGATGAATTCTCATGAAGTGAACATACCTGTGTAACCCGCACCCAAACCAAGATACAGAGCAGGACCTGTGCCCCGGGAGACCTCTGTGCCTCCTTTCAGTTCCTCCTCGCGCCCAAGTGTGATGGCTCCAACTTCCATTCACAGAGAGGATGTGCTGTGACTGAGCTTCGTATGAGGGAACTGTGTGATATACACACTCTGGCGAACGCCTTTTGCCCAAATTATGTTTCTGAGGTTCATCCATATTGTCGTGTATTGTAATTTGTTCATTCTCATGGCTATGTGACCTAACTCCAAGTAGTTAGTGCCAGAATTGCATCATACAACCCAAATTTCCATGTACAGTAAAATAGACAAATGAATTGTATATTCATACGATAGAAGACCAAATAGGTCCCCGGGCCATGCCACCTCCCTGGCACATCGATGTATGCTTGCCAACGAGGGGAGCTCACCTGAGCTTCGACGCCCAGGGTTTTTATTGGGGTGTCATTCCATGGGCGTGATCGATTGTCCCTGTGATTGAACTTCCTCTGTAGCTCTGCTCCCCTCCCTGGCTGGTGTCCCCTTGCTCAGAGGGATCTGTAATCAGCCGGTTGGGCTTTCTGACACAGCCAGCCCCCATCAGTCATCTCCTGAGCGCAAACTCAGGGATGGTCAGAGACTACTATGAACAACAAAAACACATATTCCTGGGAAATTCCAGAGATTTAGAGGTTATTTCCCAGGAACCAGGGACAAAGGCCTGCTAAATTCGTTATTACACAGCAGGGTTGTGTCCAATGTGTGGATATTACGAAGCGTGCCACTGTGAAGGTTCTTACACACACACACGTCTTTTAGCGAACGCATGTGTGCATTTCTGTTGGGTGTACCTCTAGGAGTGGAGTTGCTGGGTCACAGGGTCTGCATATCATCCGCTCTGAACATTTTGCCAAAGTGGCTATATTGGGCACTGATTTTCAAGTTATCTGTGGTAAAATATGCCCTCAGATTACGAAGCTTGCATCTGAATTAGCAGATTATCTGAATACAGATTTCCATTGTAGCACTTTCTGTCTTTCTGGTGTGGTGAGTGTGCGTGCGTGTATGGGGGGAGGGGAGAGAGTGGTATGAGGGTGTTTGTTCCTTTGATGTCTTACGTGAATGTATCAGAAAATAAGGTGCTGAAAACTGCTCTCTGTCAAACTTTAGCCTTTGGTTTTAAATGTAATGCAAATAGCAGACACTGTGTTTATGAACCCTGGGCTGTGGGGAGAGGGGAAGGGTGGGGATACTGGGCGTTTGAGTTTTATTGGTATCTACTGATTATCAGCCTTTATAACTTCTTTCCTGTGACTGCAGTTCTTCGAGAGCAAGAGAAGAATTGGCCCTGCTATGAATGTAACCGCCGATTTATAAGCTCGGAGCAGTTGCAACAGCATCTTAATTCTCACGATGAGAAACTGGATGTGTTTAGCAGGTATACTGATGGGGAAGGTTTCAGAAACTTAGCTTCTCAAGGTCCAGACTCATTTCAGTCTTGTCTATAAACAAATGAGTATGTGTCTGTGTGTGTAGACAGGTGACCAGGTGGGCTGCTGAGGGAAATTTTTATCTGTCATTTCTGTCCCTCCCGTCCCCGGCCTCGTTTACCATTTATCTCTATTCCAGCATAACCAGTACCCAGCAGTGGGAGAACCTTTCACCTTAGTTAAATCTCCCCTAAGTAAAGATTCTGAAATATGAATTCTTGAGATAGCATACACCTTTGAAATAATCTGCACCTCTGATTCTCAAACTGATTTTAGTAGAAGTCTTTCATTATATGTTTAATTCCACTACATAAAAAAGATCTGTGAAGGAGAATCATACCGGATGGGGTAGGCGGGGGCCAGATCAAGTAGGCCTTATGGGTAATGTAAGAAATTTGGATTTTATTCTAGGTGTGATCTTTAGAGGGTTCTGATCAGGGAGTATTGTGATATCAATTATATTTTAAAGCATCACCTGGGATAAAAATAAAACCATTTAACTTGTACCGGAGCAAGAGTGAACCCAGGGAGCCCCGTTAGAGGGTATTCCAGCAGTTCAGGTGGAGAGTGGGAGTGGTTTGGAACAGGATAGCGCCAGAGGGACAGATGTAGGGTTACCAGCTTTTACGGGATTTGAAAAGAGCGGAGATGGTGTAACAGGCATGTAGGGCATGTGGGGAAGTAAGTGTTCTGGGGCAGTGCACACGATTGCCTGCAGCCTTAAGAGCTCCCTTGTGGTTCCTGGTCCTGAGTTACAGCGAGACCACTAGCATGGCCCTGCCAGCTCCATTCACCGCGCGAGCACCGTGTGAGCGGGCCGGCCTGGGCTGCACAGTGCGGTGGTTTTGCTAAGCGCACGCGGCGTAGCAGGAGAAGTGGGGCAGCAGTGGGGATGGGAATCAGGAGCATACACAAGGGGACGATGACAGTGAATGACTGTGGAGTTTCTGTGTGGATTAGGGGAGAGAAAACATGAAGAGGACATATGCAAATAGGTGACAGGATTAGGATTGGACTTGGTAGTGAGGTGGAAGGATTGTTGAGTCCAGGCATTAGATGGACTGAGCTAGAAGCTAGGAGAGTGTCAGGGCGGGCGATGCGTAGGGGCGAGGTGATGGGGGCGAGGCGATGGGGGGGTGCACTTTCTGAGGGTGGAGTAAATGTCTGAGATGGGTGGAAGACACAGTGAGAGCCAAGCCATTCCCTTCTGGGCATCCCTGGAACTCTGCTCATGGCCCGGTTAGAGCGCTTTTTATACGACAGTGACTCTGGGTTATACGCAGGCCTGCTGCCTTTGCCAGACTCCAGCAGGAAACACCGTAGCACGTAACTCGCTGTCTTTAGTGCCCAGCACTGTGTGCGACACAATGGCAGGTAAAAACGCTTCTTAGCCAACTGTTAAAAGGAACTTGAGGCAAGTAGGGAAATTTGAACTTTGACTAGATTAATAATACTGAGCAACTATCAGTTTTTTTTAGGTGTGAAAGTGGTATTGTGGATATATATCTATATACATCTATCTATCATCTATCTATGTCTATCAGACTCCTTATGTTTTAGAGATGCATACTGAAATATTTATAGATGAAATGATGTCTGGGATTTATTTTAAAATAATCTAATGGGTATGTGTGTGAGGAAGTAGAGGGGATATAGATGGAATAAAATTGTCCATGAGTTGACAGTGCTGAAATTAGGTAATGGGTACTTTGGGCTCCTTATGGTAATCTCTACACTTGCCTAGGTTCAGAATTTTCCATAATAAGGAATCTTTTAAAATTTCCTGGAAAAATATATAATTTTTATTCAATTGTTAAATAGATGAGTGGAAGAATATAGCATGACCTGATTAATTTTATACACATCTCACACACACATCTTCTAAAAGGAGTTATAGGGACTTTCTGAATCCCTTTTATTAAGGTGTTTTTGTATGTTAGAACCTATTAAGGGGATAGGATTTATTTGGTGTTTACTGGGCATGTTGTGGAATGGTTGAATTAGAAATTTGTTCTGACCTTCCAGAAGCTTAGGGTGAAACAAGAGAGTTCCTTTGACTCTTGGACAGCCACAGTTCCTGGCAGGGCTCTGAGGAGGCAAGGGGAGAAGGGGGCATCTCGTCTCTAGGGACACACCCCACACGTCGTGTCTGCGTCTCCCACATCACTTCAGAGATGTGCTCCTGCTTTCAGACTTCTCAGGAGCAAAATGGTGTCGGTGCTTTGAATTTTTATAGCTCCTTCTGTTTTCTGAATAATTTGAGACATCTCTTTGAACTATACAGATGGCAAAGATGAGAGATTTAGAAAGTGCCTATTAGCAAAAACAACTGTTTCCATTAGAAAAAGAATCAGGAAAAGTAATAAAGTGAGAGGAAATCAGGACTTGGGGAAGTATTTGTTGTGGAGTGTTATGTAACATGACTATTTATAACCCAATCTCTTGTCTCCAGAACAAGATGCAGAGGCAGGGGACGAGGCAAGAGGCGGTTTGGCCCAGGTCGACGGCCAGGGCGTCCTCCAAAATTTATCCGCTTGGAAATCACCAGTGAAAATGGAGAAAAGTGTGATGATGGGACACAGGTACCGGGGCCAAGGGGAAAGAGCTGCTTCTCAGCTGCTCACTTGGAGGACATACCAGCACCACTACCGGGTTAACGCAGGTGCCCACGAGGCTGCCAGCTGCCAGGCCAGCCCTTGCTGCCTGTGGGTTGAAGTGTGACTAGAGAAAGGCAGAGAAAAACGTATTTTCAAATGTTACTTAGAGCAAAAACCCAAGTTTCCTGCCCTAAAGATTTGAAATTGTCTGGAGACATTATTGTGG